GAGTTAGTGCTTTCTAACAGTTAACAGTGGTGAGTTCTTTTGGAGCAATTGACAAAGAAACAAACGAAAAAAAAAAAAGAAGGAAAGAAAAATTTAATAAAGAACGTAGATAGTAGTCTGATTATAAATTTTCTCCATAATCCCCATCTTTCTTTTATTGCCGTCGAACGAAGGGCCAGAATTGCAGCGCCGCTCTTCGTTTACTGCTCATATTCAAATAACGCAATAAAAAGCGGTAATAATGCAGCGGGAGCTTATCTGGAATTTAATGACGTCATTCGCCGTTATCGCTGTCAAATGACTTTTTTTAAAAGCTAATTCTCATATATTATCGTCGGCGGCTTATCGCGCACACGGTGGACCCCCGCGCTATTAAATTCTACTCTTGTTTTTTCCATCACAGAGCCTATTTTGACGATGGGGATTGATCGCTTATGGTTATATTAACAGAACAAAGTAGCAATGGAAATAACAACAAAATTCTTATATAATAATTAGTTAGAAGCAGCCTTAAAATGAAGAGGTATTGACAAAACAGTTTTATATGAATAAAGTAAAAGTACGACAAGGAGTTGAAAAATTAGAAGAATTTCAGTATCTAGGAAGTTAAATAAGTCAGGGTGGAAGGAACCATGAAGATATAAAATAAACGATGGTGCGGTTAATTTAGAAATTAGAAAAAGATTGTTAAAGGTGTGAGTCTGGAGGGCGCCGGTGTACGGGTGCGAAACATGAATTGTAGGCGCGGCGCAAAAGAAATGGTTAGAAACGTTTGAAATGAGGTGGTATTAAAAAGAATAGGAGAACAGAGGACTCTATGGAAATCAATAGGAAATAGGCTAGATAGGTTGGTAGGACATCTTCTAAGGGGCTAGTGGAGTAGACACATTATTCGAAACAGACACAGGAATTAAGAGTAATAGAGGTAGATCTAGATTAGATTACTGTCCACAAATAGTTAAGAATGTGGGATGTTCTAGTTTTAGAGAAATGCGAAAATTAACTGAAGATAGTAAAAAAATGAAGAAAAGTTTTGGAATTGACGACCTTATGCGTCGAATTCAAATAATTAAATTGATTATGTCAAAAAGAAAGATAGTTATATTCTGATGGTATTTTTGAGAAGTTGGGCTTCCCAAGGTGGGTGTCACGCACGTGTCTTTTGACAACGGATTATAATTTTAATCCCTTCAGGTGTTGTTGTCTAAGGAATTACCTGTCGAACTGTGTGTGGTTTTCGAAGGTGACAAGATCCTGTTTGTTTTCTTTAAATTATTTGTTTATGGGGTGTCTGACTAAACCTATTTGTAGGTACCTAATCCCCAACGACAGAAAGGATTGTAGTTATTAACCTTTAGATAGATTTCAATAGTCCAAACTCCTGGAATGTGTCATAAAAGCAACTTCAATTTTCTTAAAAAATACCTGTATTCAATTTTTCTAGTAGGTAGGTACTGATAAGATTATCTTATAAAAAATTGACTAAGTATCGGGAGTGGCCCGACACTTGTTTTTATCAAGTGAATAAGGATTATTTAAAGGATTTCATTAAAAGGATAATGAGTGGCGGAGTACATATATAATTGAAAATCAATTCTTGGGTAGGTTATACCATTCTTATTTAAGCAGTAACAAGATATTACGTTTTGTTTTGTTTACTGCATGAAGACCAAAAGCTCTACTTCAAAAAAAGAAACATCCACGCACTTCCACTCTTTCCTATCCTGAGCTAATCTTCGCATTTCCCTAAAACTAGAAGAACCCACATCCTTAACTATACTTGTGAATAGTAACATATAATCAAGGTCTATCTCCACTATTCGTAGCTTCTGTTTCTGCTATTTGCGAACAGTAATCTAATCTAGGTCTACCTCTACCCCTCCTAATTTCCGTTTCTGCTTCTAATATATCTCTACCTACGTATAATGAAAAATGAAAAATTGAGCTAATTTTGCTCTGTTTTCTTTTTATTGTAATACTTTTTGTTTTTCTTCCTGTTAAAAATCTGGGTAAAATCTGATGGGCTGTCGTTTGGATCCTGTGGAACAGGCAACTGACATGGATACGTAAGGATAATAAGCGTTGCAGCGGGAAATGTAACGGGGGCGGCAGCGATGGAAACGGCATGGGGGCCCCCCTTTTTCATTGTCGAGGAGCATTAAATTGATTTTATTATCCCCCCTTCGAGAGCCGCCAATCGTCGGGCGCGATCCGAACGCCTGTTAGGCGGGAATGGCATGCTGCGACTGCCAATCACGACAATTGTTTGCATGAACATCACTCGACACAAATCTTTATTATTACTTATTCCTGGGCATAAAACAACCTACGTTCTTGTTGCTTGATTGACTCGAACATGTTTACAATGGTACCTAATTATTTTGTTCCTCGTCGAACGCGCTGAATAGATAGCAGCGCGATTCAGACACGTGATCCTTATACACAATCTCGCCAAAGGATTCCTCGAATCCTTCGCGGAAGTCACTTTTTCTTCTTCGTAAACTATACGGGTAAGATTGTCACCGTGATGTACCTAGTTTCTACTAAGCCTTACGTCAAATCTTCAAAACACCTAAGGATTATAAAAAAAAAAATTTATTTTATTCAGTAAAGGTAACGTGCCTTTCACGTTGAGGTTAGCCACGCCGGGATTCGTTTTCAGCAAGTAGATATCCACACAAGTGGACACCGTTGGAGCATACGTAATCCTAAAATGTAGCATCGTGCTACAGATGGCGTTTACTGCGCCATTTATAGTATTTTCTAAAACGCACTGTTAAGACACCAGGTAAAAGTTGGTCTGTATTCTGTCGGAGCTGCCTGCGACGCGCTGATGAGATCCAGAAAGATCGAAGTCGCGATCCGCGTCTGGCAGTTTCGACAGACCACTTCGAATTATTTTATTCGACCTAAGGATTATCCTTTAAAATACAACTGCCCATTTATATGTAAATATAAATATTAGAATTTAAAGTGCTCCAAGCTAATTTTTTTAAATCTAGTTATTTTGCTCTTCAAGGACTTCAACAACCTTGAGAAAATAAAGAATATCCTTTAGCAGATAGATTGCCTTAACGAGATTTGACCAGATAGTTTACGCTGTAAGCACCTTGTACAAATCCCATGGTTTTTACGAGGAATATGCAGTCGTGTTTAACACCTTCCATCAAAGTTTGTTAAAGGACTAACAAGGGAATGTTTAAAATTCCATTAGCAAATCCATTATGCCAACAGCAGAGTTCCAAAGACCACCTACATCGTCACAGGATCCCCGGGGTGTGTGACTTTGTTCAACATTTAGCGGATTAACCAGAGATTAGCTGACGAATGACAAGCCTTTCCCTTACCATCCCTATTTGACAAGTGACAGATAAATGAATATCCAGGAAAAAGCGAGCGCGTTTGTTTCGTGACTTTACCAATTTTTTTGCAAATGAGGGGTACGTTTCCCTACTGCTACTTCCTTAATCTGTTATGACAAGCTTATTTTCTTTTTTGGTTAAAATATTACAGGTTCTTTTATAAACCCAGGCGGGGTAGACCTTAATAAAATATTAAGCGTCGATTTTATTTATAAAAAGAATTTTTTTTATTAGATCTTCTCCCCAATAAGGAGAAGTGTTTCCCAAATACTGTAGATACATAGGATTGTTTCCTTGTAATATTGATAATTTTAAAATACTTTATATTTAATTCCGTTAATGACGTTATGACATTAAAAAAACATTTTTAATTATCAATTTAAAATGTTTTTAAACCTCCATATTTATCGGAACAAAACCAAGTGGATTGAGATAAAAATATGAACGGATTTAATTGAGCGTCTGCAGAAAATAAATGTATTTTAGATAATAAGGTCCTCCCGTCGTTGCCACAGGTTCGAATAATGTACTTAATGACCGGCCTGATAAAAATTCTTTTGCAGGCTAATTTTCATGAAATATAGGAAAATTAGTCACAAAGAAATTGTTCCTTTTCATGCCGGAATATTTATTCACGTCTAATTAAAAAAGATAAGGTCAGGAAAAAAAATGTACGGTGCAAGGTGCTACTCGAATCGTATTAATTAACAGTGATAACGGAGAATTTATAATCTAAATATGCAGCATAATATGACCATTAATCATAGGTCACGGAAAAACCGGGGCGAAAAATACCGAATCGGTATACGAGGGTTGTTTAAAAAATGAGGATCATTATTTTTACATCGAAAAGTACCAGTAAATATTTTAATAGATATCAAAAAGGTGGTGTTGATATTTTTAGACTTTTATACTTATTTAAACAATGTTCTCGATTATTTATTTAAAAAATGACACCGTACAGTGGTGGTCTTATTGCTTGGAATGTGTACTTGCCCCATTTAATGGCAATCGCAGAGGCCAGAGCCATTAGTTCTCGTGTTGGAACTAATAGCGTGTTCGAGTCGATACTACTAACACGGCTAACTTCACACAATCGAATATTCGCTAGTTGTGCGCGCGCAACATCCGTTGCATGCTGAAGTTGTAGATACTCTTAGCGCGCCAGTAGAGGAGTGAAAACCCAAACTTAATAAGTGTTGTGCAAAGTGCTGAAACGTTCCATAAATTGCTATTTGTTTCATCCAGGACATGGTCATTGTGTGTGTCTAAATAATAATTTTAGGATTTTTTTGTGACCAGTTGATGGAGCAAATCCCTCCCCAATTTCCGATTCCTGCCACACAGAGCCGTAACAAATGAGTTAATAAGTTTAACTCACGCATCCTTGTAATAACGCAAACACACAGACACACACACGTATACCATAAAATACGTGTGCAAGGATCGGTGGCGGTGGCAACGCGCCGGCAGCGCGTCACGAGGCGAAAACGCGAAGCCTGGTGACAAACTGGCGTAGGGAAAATTCTATTAGGATAATGATGGGGGGCGTCACGGAGCCTTGTAGACTCCGCCCCCCGGCATGGTCCCGTCCGAGAAGCATGCACGATTCAGTCGACCACCGCCAGTGTTGTTAATCGCACGACCAAAAAAAAAAAAAAAAAAGAAAAACGAAGAACAAGAAGAAAAAAGAGAAAGATCGCAGTTTCCGTTCTTTTGTTCGTGCTTCTGTTGTACTGTTGTTTGTGACCGAGTTCCTAATTAGCGTATCCGTTAATTGACTCTGCCTTAAGGACTCTCTTCGCAATCAGTTCAAAACCAGACCTCGAACCAAGATCCTGTTGAGACCATGGACGACTTCTAATTCTTTTTATCGAACAACTCAACTGTAACAAGAAGATAGTGAAGGTTTGGTGCGAATCAATTGGATGCATTTTTGAACTGTGTGCCTTCACTTCAACAATTCCCAAAACGTGAGTGACGGACGGATCCATGGTATGAATGAATTGCTATCCAGCAACACCAAATTATAAATATTCTATTGGAAAAGAGGAATTTAGTGCTAGCAATGGAAGAAACAACAAAATCAGAACCCAATCTCAAGTCAAAGATTTCCTTTAGTGTGGAATCCTTGTTGTCGAACAATAATCCTTCGGAAGCGGTGGCTCCTTTCAATGGCGAGGATCAATACCAAAGTGACGATGAGCACATCGAAATCGACGATGATCTGAGTGAAGATTACGGTAGACTTAACGACAGTTTAGAAGAATCAAAAACATTTAAAAGTAGTGATAGTGACAAGGACGATCTTGAAAGTAGACTCAGTGGAAGTCCAAATGCTTCCCATTCAGTTCTCGTTCCTCAGCCTCTTCATCCATCCATACCGTCGTTGCTTAGCACGGGAGGACCTCCTCCGTGGAGTTTTCCCTGGCTAAGCCAGCAATCGCAACTTTTTAGAACAGGACTTCCCCAAAGTAAGTACCAATTTGAATATTTTATTTTTTTTTTGTAAATTAATCATTAAAAGTGGTGAGTATGCCAAAGGGCTAGAAATTAGAATTTGGTAATTTTTTTGATGGAAGGATTTTTCTATAAATATCTAAAGGTTGAAGTTTTGGTGGAGGCACTAGGCATTATATGAAGGATACTTGTTTGGACATTATGAAATATTCGGTTTAAACAAGTTGTCTGCACAATTTCAGCGTTCATTACAAGTGTATTTAAAATTTTAAACAACAGAAGCGGTCAGGCGGGCTTTATGTTAGGTATTAGGTGCTAGAAAATGAATACTTCAACATATATCCTTTTTCTAGCTGGTTTTGGTAATTCAATTTACACACAATGTTGCAATTGAATACCTGTAAGCACTTTTCGCGGTAATATTGTTAACACAAAATTTCCCACACATCAAAAACCAGACCTATCTCAGCTACCATCATTATTCGAGAGTAAAAACAAATCCAACAAGTTAACTTTTCCAATATACTCATACTTAAAGGTCCACAAAACCATTTAATCGAATGTATAATTTTATCAGAAAAGAAAAACCGCTTCTTCTACGTAGTAGAAGTTCAGGGCGCAGTTTACAACAAGAAAAATCTACTGCAGTGCTGGCCATGCTTTTCCGTAATGACTTCATTGAACGGAGGTCGTGGAGTGTTTTTATAAAATTACAGCAAAATAAGGAATAAACTGTACATCAGATAGTTGGTTGCCTTCAACAAACTTCAGATAATTACTCCAAAGTAAAAAATAACATTGCAATTGAAACTGTAATGAGAATTCTTTAGGAAAATCTGGTAATGTCAGGGAGTAACAAATATTTCACTGGAAAACATGAAGTTGATTTATTCAAAGTAAGAATATTAAACCGTCGTCCCGCTGGATAATTATGTTTAGTTATCAATTATGATTGCGATAATGGTAAAGGATATAATGACATCAACATAAGGATTATCCGTGTCGTTTTTAACAAATCCTATTATTGTCGACCAACTGGCAATTTCACGAATTTAGATGGATGGCATGGATATCTATCTATCTATGTATGTACGTTCTTCATCACGTCTCGTTTGAATTGTCAGCAATCGTTGACAGGAAAATAGGCTTGCTCATTACCGCCATTGTCCTGGCTCACGGACATTTAACATAAAATATAACTCGCAACTGACATTCTATGATTTAATTGTATCGCTTTAAATGGGCGAGCTTGTTTCATATCGAGAGAATTATTGCTATTATTACAGCACTTGTTGCCGTTTCGATTGCTATCGTTATTATTATGTGCAATTAAGGATACGGGAATAATAATATCATATTCAATAAGAGGGAATGCCATTGAAGGCTACGTTGTAAAGAAAATTACATATAAATAAAGAATGGAATCGGATGTCTCATATATCGTAAAACTAAATATTTGTAATTGAACACAAAATCTTAATTACTCGTCGATATCATTAATTGATTGTTATTGATTGATTAAATTTTTGCCAATAAAGAGTAGCTGATTAGTCCTTCTATGGGTGACTATAGTTAAGGCAGTATATCACTATTATAATCTTAAAGGTAGGAGAAAAAAAATTAGGAGAAGTCATTGATTTTCGATATCTGTATAAAGTTAGATAACTTAGGGTGGAAAGAGAAGAGTCTCCCTCAACAAAAAGAAGCCACTTCTATGTTCGCGAATGGTAAATTTAGAAATTCGAAAAAGATTGTTAAAGGTGTGTCTGGGGCGCGGCGCTGAACGGGTGAGAAACAGGAACGGTAATTGCGGCGGAAAACAAAAATGTTGGATATTTTGCTTTTGTGATTAGGATGTCGTGGATAGAGAAGCTTAGAAATGAGGAGGTATCAGAAAGAGTTGGAGGACAGAGTCAATAAGCAAAAGGCAAGATATTAGGTTGGTAGGACACCTTCTCAGGCATGTAGGGCAAGTCAGAGACTTATTAGAAGTTGGAATTTAGAGAAGTACTGGTAGACCTGAATTAGATTTCCGATTATAAAGATTAGCTCAGGATAGAACAGAGTGGAGGTGCCTGTCTAGCCAGTCTCAGCATTGACGACCTTATGGTGATGATGATCACCATTTGCTGACTGCAAATATTGAAATATTTGTCAAGTTTTTCTTCGATTTGGTCTTTAATTTACCTAGACAATGCAATGTTTGCTAATGAGACTTAATAAGACTAAGAACTTGGTGTGGTAATAGTATTCTACTAGTCATAGCCACCAGAAACTTCACTATATTTTTTGTAAACATCAACAAAACTACCAATCGTTTTAAAATTCTCACCACTTTTAACTACACGAAGAGAAATATCTTATAAAAATTCCCATGCTTGTCGCTATAAAATAGATGCAAGAAACATGCACTGACATATTCAATATTGGTTAAATAATTTTTGTAAGAAACCTTATAAATTGTACTAGAATCATAGGAATTTTTACTGTACTGGCAGGATAATTTTTTCATTGTCAGTCATGGTAATTTTTATTAAGATTTTTCTCCCCGCATGTATTGATGTTACTTATGATTACAATTAATTAATATTTTCGGTCATTTTTAACACAGACAGTTTATCCAGTTCGTCTCCTAACAATCCTGGAGGACCGCCGGTAGTGAGATGCACTCTACGAAAACATAAACCTAATCGAAAACCACGAACACCTTTTACAACTCAACAGTTGATGGCACTGGAAAAAAAGTTTAGAGACAAGCAATACCTTAGTATTGCAGAGAGAGCAGAATTCTCCAATTCGCTGAGACTTACCGAAACTCAGGCACGTGCTTCTTATATTTATCTAAGTGTCTAATAAAAACAATAATTTATTTAATGAATCCTTCCAAAGGAGCTTTTCATTTAAATGATTCGTTTTCTTTCCAGGTGAAAATTTGGTTTCAAAATAGGAGAGCGAAAGCAAAAAGGCTACAGGAGGCCGAACTAGAGAAATTGAGAATAGCCGCTAGACCTTTGCTGCCCCCTACGTTCGGTTTGTTCCCGGGTCCTTCGGGACAAATAATGTCACCTTTCTTGGCTGCCATGGCAGCTAGACCGCCAAACTTTACTCTCTTCCCAACGTCTCAAAGTCAGCTATTGCAAAATATACCGCAGTCAATAATATAAACTGTAGCAGGACATTAACGAAATTTGTCAAGATCCTTGTTTAAATAAGCAAAGGATAACGACTTTTAATACCCACTAATAGGGTGTTTAAACGCCAAAAATCTCCTTTAAAGTGTGCCAGCCTAATAAAGGACAACATTAAAATTTGACTGCGACATTATTGTGTTCCAGTCGTGGACTAATACGCGAGGACTTCAAATCTTCTCTTTACGATGTTGTTAAAACTTAATGACAAAATAACTTACTTTGAAGTTATTTTAAATGTGCAATAACATGTATGATACAAACATCAAAGACACTTTAATAAAGACTGATATACATATTTGTACATATAAATGTATATAGGTATTACATTACATATATATAT